TCATGACCCAACTAGGTAATATCATCAATGGAGAAGGAATACGGTGACAAGGAAGGGCATCCGGCCATTAAAACACTCTGCTAGCTCCATTCAGTTGCCCAGACTCCACCCCGCAAGGGATTATGGGGGTCGTTAAGTGAAGATGATTTCATGACCCAACTAACAGAAGAGAATATTTGTAGCTCAGGGTTCAACTATGGAGTCCTTGGTGTCCTCTGATCTTGGATGGTTGCTTGTAGACATTTCATTGCCCAACTAGACAACGTCATCAGTACCAAGAGAAGAGAATATTTGTAGCTCAAGGTTCAACAGTTAGGTTCTTGGTGGTCTCTGAGCTTGGCTGCTTTCTTGCAGATGTATCAGGACCCAAACTACCGTATTTTTCGAAGTATAAGACACATATTAGTTTTGGGGAGGAAAACAAGGGGAAAAAAATTCTGCCTCTGCCTACCAGTTTCCATTGGTATTCATCTGGCTAGCTTCCTTGCAGCAAACAGCAAACAGCCTGGTCAGCTTCAGCACATTATCGCAGCCTGATTCAGCATGAGCAGCTGATTGGCGGTTGGATCGGCCTCCTGGAATACTGCCAATCAGCTGTTCCAGGCTGCGGGGATCGCCGTCGCCCATTGCCGGCTCTGCGCGTCGTGTTTTTGGGCTCCGCACGCTCCATTTTTGACCCGTACTAGGCTGCCGTGATCACCACAGCACATCGCTGCCTCAGCATGTTGCGCTTTTGGCCTCCGCACGCCCCACTTTTGGCCTCTGCGCATCGTGTTTTTGGCCTGTTCTAGGCGGCGGAGATTCCTGCCGCCACCGCCAATCCCTGCTGCCTGGAACCGGCCGAAAACTCGACGTGTGGAGGCCAAAATTGGGGTGTGTGGAGGCTGAAAATGCGATGCATGGAGGTGGCGATCGGCGGCTATGTTCTGTGGTGATCCCCACAGCCTGGAATGGGTCTAAAATGGGGTGTGTGGAGGCCGGAAACGGGGGGCAGGCGGGTGGGTGGGGCTTTGGCAACATTCGCTGTATAAGATGCACAGACATTTCCACCCACTTTTTGGGAGTGGGAAGTGCGTCTTATACTCCGAAAAGTATGTTAGGTAACATCACCTTATTCCTGTATGAATTAAGGAATGACTTCATTGAGTTGCAAAGTGGCCTACCATTTACAACTTGACCTGGGTTAGCACATTGGGCGAATCCAGCCTTTATTGGGTTAGTCCAGGTGTCAGCAACCTGCAGCTCCGGAGCCGCATGCGGCTCTTCGGGCCCTTTGCTGTGGCTCCCTGTCAGGTGATCCCACCACTGGCTGGCCCCGTCTGTCAACCTCCCCTCCCAATCATTCCTCGCCTGGCCTGAGAAGGTAAGGGCGACGGCGGGGGATGGAGAATTAGCCGCGGCAGAGACAGAGAGATACAGAGAGAGGGGGAGAGAGAGAGACATAGAGAGATACAGAGGGAGAGGGGAGAGAGAGAGGGAGGGGGAGGGAGGGAGAGAGAGAGAGAGACATAGAGAGATACAGAGAGAGAGGGGGGAGGGAGGGAGAGAGAGATGTCAAAAGGGTTATGTGGTTCCTGGTGTTTTTTAACAACCGGTTCTCTGCCCTAATGACTGGCTGGGTAGGCGTGGCTAAGGGGTGGTGGTCATGTGACTGGTGGAAGTGAGTGATGTCAAGTTGGCCACGCCCACCCAGTTTTTGTGGCTCCCGGTGTTTTCTTTTCTGTGGGAAACGGGTCGAAATGGCTCTTTTGAGTGTTTAAGGTTGCAGACGTGATACGGGGCAAAACCCGATGTTTTGCAAAGCCAACCCGTTGTAGCTTCTGTCAGGAAGTGTGGTTACAGCAACCTGGGATTGGGCCTGAAGCGCAAAATCCAGACCTGGAGTCAGGGTGGGAGTCGGGGGCTGAGGAGGAGGTCCAGACACAGATAAGAGTGCCTTGAAATGAAGGCAGATCAGGGATTCCCAAGTACTGTGGGGGGAAAAAAATGAATCAGGAAGGAAATCTTAACCAAGATGTTAAACTTCTGGAGAATATTCCGGTACAGTTGATGCGGTTTTGACTCTGAAGATGACCGTTAATTTTGAGGAAGTTCCTCCTTTGACCAAAGAGTGGTTGACTAGGGGTTTTCTTTACTTCTCCTTTTGTTTTTCTTCTTCTGAGTACTTTTGACCTAGATGTATACATTATGGAGCCTTCGATGTACCTCAAAGTTCTCTAGACTCTCCCATGCAACAAAAGTGAAGACGTTTCCTCAAATTGTGGGTTTCTTCTCATGTTGCATCACTCTTTAAGTTTTCTCTGCGGAGGCTTCGTCAGGAGGTTACAGAAAACCCAACCGCTTGGTTTCCAGTTCTGGCCCTGCGGAAGGAGAAGAGTTTTGGGGAATAAGCGAGCCGGGGATTAAAATTTCCTGTCTGGCTTTGTTTTTCCAGAAGAACCCAAAAGCCAAAGGTAGAAGATCAAGAATAAGGGATATAGAGCAGGGGATCTCCAACCTTCGCAACTTTAAGCCTGGAGGACTTCAACTCCCAGAGTTCCCCAGCCAGGGTCTCCAACCTTGGCAACTTTAAGCCTGGTGGACTTCAACTCCCAGAATTCCCCAGCCAGGGTCTCCAACCTTGGCAACTTTAAACCTGGTGGACTTCAACTCCCAGAATTCCCCAGACAAGGTCTCCAACCTTGGCAACTTTAAGCCTGGTGGACTTCAACTCCCAGAATTCCCTAGCCAGGGTCTCCAACCTTCGCAACTTTAAGCCTGGTGGACTTCAACTCCCAGAATTCCCCAGCCAGGGTCTCCAACCTTGACAACTTTAAGCCTGGTGGACTTCAACTCCCAGAATTCCCCAGACAAGGTCTCCAACCTTGGCAACTTTAAGCCTGGAGGACTTCAACTCCCAGAATTCCCCAGCCAGGGTCTCCAACCTTGGCAACTTTAAGCCTGGAGGACTTCAACTCCCAGAGTTCCCCAGCCAGGGTCTCCAACCTTGGCAACTTAAAGCCTGGAGGACTTCAACTCCCAGAGTTCCCCAGCCAGCCAGAATTCCCCAAAGCTGGCTGGGGAATTCTGGGAGTTGAAGTCCTCCAGGCTTAAAGTTGCCAAGGTTGGAGACCCCTCATATAGACAATGCACCATCCCGAGGTCACACAATCCCCTTTTGCGACCTTCTGGCAAGTAAAGTCGATGGGGAAGCCAGATCTGCTTAACAACCGTGTGACTAATTTAACAACGGCAGGGAATTCACTTAATAACTGTGGCAAAAAAAGCTTGTCAAAAGGTTGTTCATTGATGGTATTTTGTCCTACTTATAGAGGGCATCTGTGAATCAATCATGGCTAGTATGAATTCAGTTCTATGTTGTCTGTATCATACGGCTCTGGTCAAATCCAGATGATTTCCCAAAATGCAGGGAAAACTTCCCAAAGGTGCTTTTTTCAAGAGGCAACTGGACTTCCTGGTTTTTCTTTGAAGATGTTTCACTTCTGATCCAAGAAGCTTCTTCAGCTCTGACTGAATGGTGGGGAATGGAAGGTATATGCAGTACAATGCAGTGAGCCATTTTCAGATCTGTACCTTGGGGAAACAAAACAACCACTTCATAAACACATGGCACAACACAGGAGAACAAACCCATCAGAGGTAGATTCAGCAGTTCATCTGCATTTCAAAGACAAAGGCCGCTCTTTTGAAGACAGCAAAGTCCACATTGTGGACAGAGAGGATCGCTGGTTTGAAAGAGGGGTCAAAGAGGCCATCTGTGTCAAAATTGAACAGCCCTCTCTGAACAAAGGGGGAGGGATAATCTGCAACACAGTCCTTTCAGCAGTTCCAAGAAGGCTCCACACCCATTTGCACCACTCAGGTGACCCTGAGGACACAGATAAAACTCCAAGTGGCCTCAGCGGCCCTCTCAAAGGATGCAAATGACCAGCCGTCTGCAAGGAGCATCAATCCTTCCATTCCCCACCATCCTGTCAGAGCTGAAGAAGCTTCTCGGATGAGAAGCAAAACGTCTTCAAAGAAAAAGCAGAAAGTCCAGTTCCCTCTTAAAAACAAAGCACCTGTGGGACCTGGATTGATTGATTGATTGATTTATTTATTTATTTATTTATTTATTTATTTTATTTATTTATTTGATTTATTTGATTTATTTGATTTATTTATTTATTTATTTATTTATTTATTTATTTATTTATTTATTTATTTATTTATTTATTTGATTTATATGCTGCCCTTCTCCGGAGACTCAGGGCGCCTTACAATGCGATAAGCAATAGCCTTCATACTTTTGTATATACCTGCTTAGTAGGGCTTTCGGCCTCTCCTAAGTGGTGTTCTTTTTTATACAAAGTCAGCTTATTGCCCCCACAGTCCAGGTCCTCATTTTACCTACCTCGGAAGGATGGAAGGCTGAGTCAACCTTGAGCCTGGTGAGATTTGAACTTACAGTAATTGCAGGCAGCTGGTGCTACTTAACAGCATTTTAGTCTGCTGCGCCACCAAGGCTCTTATGGATGACGGAGAAACTCCATAGACAGGGAAAGCTTCGAAATGATTGCAGGTAGTCCTCAACTTACAACCACAACTGACCCCCAAAATATAGGTTGCTAAGTGAGACCTTTGTTAAGTGAGTTTCGCCTCGTTTTATGACCTTTCGTGCCATGTTTGTTAAGCGAATCATTGCGGTTGTTAAATTAGTCACACGGTTGTTAAATGAATCTGGCTTCCCCACGGATTTTGCTGGTCAGAAGGTCACAAAAAGGGATCCCGGGATTCTAGGGACACTGCGGCCGTCATAAATACGAACCGGTTTGCCGAGTGTCTGGATTGTGATCCCGTGATGATGGGGAGGTTGCAATGGTCGTAAAGTGTGAAAAAGGGCCCTGAGTCAGTTTTTTTCAGTGCCATTGTAACTTCGAACGGTCACTAAGTGAAGTGTTGTAAGTAGAGGACTATACCTATATGTGATTTTGACCTGAAGGTTTATTCTTCTGTTTTAGGATGTGAGTCTCTTGGAATATCAGCACCATCCCAGAGAATACCCTTCCCACCTGCCCCCAGGGTCTCTCTTACACCCCCAACGGCGCAGACCCTCCCTGTTATCCGAATTTCAGCCGGGAAATGAAAGGTAAGGCCAAAGAGATGGGACACGTTTGAGGTTCCAACAGATTTTTTTCTTCCCCAAATATACTTATGACCCAGTTTTGAAGTTTACACACAGAGACTCTCTCTCTCACACACATACACAGACCAGTGATGGGTTGCTCCCGGTTCGCACCGGTTCGCAAGAACCGGTAGTAAAAATTTGTAGTAATTCGGAGAACTGGTAATAACATTGTGTGGCCACGCCCCCGAACTGGTCCCCGGCCCAGTTGCCACTCGCTTACCCCGCCCACCTCATCAGAAGGGTTTTTTTTTTTATTTAAAAAGCATTTTTTCTACAACTACTTTGGCGGAAAAATTGCTTTTAAAAGTAAAAAAAAAAAAGCCTCTGATGATCACGCGGCTCAGCTGGGACCGTCAGAGGCTTTTAAAAGCATTTTTTCCCTGCAACCTCTTCGGCCGAAGAGGCTGTAGGAAAAAAAAATGCCTTTAAAAGCCTCTGGGGATCCCAGCTGAGTTGCCTGATCGCCAGAGGCTTCTAAAAGCATTTTTTCCTGCATCCTCTTAAAGTTGTAGAAAAAATGCTTTTAAAAGTAAAAAAAAAGAAAGAAAGAAAGAAAAAAAGTTGGCCATGCCCACCAGTCACATTACCCCCACTAAGCCACACCCACAAAATAAGCCACGCCCACAGTACCGGTAGTAAAAAAAATTAGAACCCACCCCTGACAGAGACCATATTCTGTGTGCTGGACAGCTGGTCACTTGGCTTGCAGTTACCACAATTTTTGCTCAAAACGATGGCTTGCTTCCGATTGGACCATCATGTCGCGTTCGCTCGACAACCCTAGTGTGCGTGTCACAACGGCCCCGGTCACACGATGATCCGCGTGGTTACGACTTAAAAGGGTTGTGACTGCCAGGCTCAACTATAGTCGTACGTTGAGGACTATCTGTACGGCAGAGTTTGTGAAGTCAGCGAGGGAAAGTTGGATTCATTTAATGACCCTGCGATTCAGCCAACAAGTGCGGTGATTCACTTAACAACCATATGTTCTGACCCAGCTTCCCAAAAACGACAAATCCTTTGTAGTTAAAACAATGCTTCCTTTATTAGGAATGCCAGCAGGCAAAAAGTTTCTCTCTCACCGCAGACTAATAACTCAGTCCGGCAGGGAGAGGAATAGTTGTCTGCCACATCTGTTCATCTCCGCCCCCTGCCTTTTATCCCCAGAGCTAGGGTGGGGCTTTGCTAGCAGCGGTAGCTCTTCCGTCCCAAGGACCGGCCCATAGATTTCCACTGCTCTCCTCTCCTCTGCCTTCTGCGCATCAGGAACTGGACCCAGCTGTTCCTCCTCTTCCTCATCAGCCACCTCCAGACCTGGGGGCTGTTGACTCTCCATCTGAGGGCTGACAAATGGCCCAGGCTCTGCCTCTCTCTCTCTCTCTCTGACAGCTCCCTTCCCTCTTCCCCCTCGGAGCTCTCAGGTTACCTTGATGCTGGCCCTGACTCTCACGCCTCCACCTCCTCCTCCTCTGATTCGGCTGCTGGAGGCGCCGGTAGCCGAGAGGCCACAACAGAAGGTGGGTCGGTCATCGGGAGCAGAGATTTACTGTTCCGAGCTTTCGGACTTATGCCAGAGCCCATCTTCAGGGAATTTCTCTCTACTGAAACACGACTCAAAGAACAGCCCAAAAGGACATATTTTGGTGGAAAGAAATTCCCTGAACTTTTGGCATAAGCCCAAATGCTTGGAAGAATAAATATCTGGTCCTGGTGACCGGCCCACCTTTAATCTCGCATCATTATCCTCGGACACTTATATCTGCCTCCATTCGTGATAATAATAATACTAATAATAATACTAATAATAATACTAATAATAATACTAATAATACTAATACTAATACTAATACTAATAATAATATTTTGCATTGCTCCTACTGTGATGTTGGATTCCTTATGGAACCAGCCATTATTGATAAGCATAAGATACAAGACATTTTTTCTTAAAATTTTCTCGTTGCTTTCTTAGTTCGACTTTGGAGTTTGTCTTTTTGGGTTTGTGAAGCTTTCTTTAAGATGATAAAGACGGCTTTAGGAATTGTCATGGGCCCCTTCCCTTCGTTTCCCCATTCTTCCCTTCCCTCCACTTCCCATCTCCTTCTCCTCTTCCTCCTCCTCTCCTCCTCCTCCTTTTCCTTCCCCTTCTTCTCCTTTCATTCTTGTTTCTCCATCCATTCTTCTCCCTCATTCTTCCTTCTATTCTCCTCTTCCTCCTCCTCTTCCTCCTCCTCTCCTCCTCCTCCCTTTCCTTCCCCTTCTTCTCCTTTCATTCTTGTTTCTCCATTCATTCTTCTCCCTCATTCTTCCTTCTATTCTCCTGTTCCTCCTCCTCTTCCTCCTCCTCTTCCTTCCCCTTCTTCTCCTTTCATTCTCCATTCATTCTTCTCCCCCATTCTTCCTTCTATCCTCCTCTTCCTTCCTCCTCTTCCTCCTCCTTCCCCATCAATTTATTCCCCTTCCGTCCCCCTTTCGCCTTCCTTTCTCCTTCTCTCCCCTTCCCTTGCTTCTGAGTCCTAAGATAATTGGCAATGGGAGAAACGATCTAAAAAACCCCACATCACGGGTGAAATCCAATTTTTTTTACTACCGGTTCTGTGGGCGTGGCTCGGTGGGCATAGTGTGGCTTGGTGGGCATGGCTTGGTGGGCGTGGCAGGGGAAGGATACTGCAAAATCCCCATTCCCTCCCCACTCCTGGGGGAAGGATATTGCAAAATCCCCATTCCCACCCCACTCTGGGGCCAGCCAAAGGTGGTATTTGCTAGTTCTCAGAACTACTCAAAATTTCCGCTACCGGTTCACCAGAACCTGTCAGAACCTGCTGGATTTCACCCCTGCCCTACACTATTTAAAACAGATCGGCTTGGAGCTCCTTGATCCAATCTCTTTTCACTTCCCCGCAGGTCCCAGGAGACGCACGCTCGGACCGAGTCCCATTCGTATCTCTCGGATCTGAGCAAAGCATCGGAAATCGAGTTTATTGAGACCAAGCGGCCTCGGATGGAGCTGTTACAGGAGCCGCTGCTGAGGCCTCCGGCTCTGCTCAGCCAGGGCGGAACGGAGGGTTTCTCCAGGGTAAGCTGGAAAGAGAAGGTGCACAGGGAGTTCTCGAATTACGACTGTAATAGAGCCCGCCTGTTATAGTCCTAAAATCGATAGAAGAGAATGTTTGTAGCTCGGGATTGAAATGAGGGGTCCTTGGTGGTTGGTGGTCTTCTTGCAGACGTTTCATGACCCAACTATATAACATCATCAGTGCTAGAAGAAAGAGGGGTTTGTGAAGTGGAGGAGAAGGAGACGGGAGGAGGAGGAAGGTGACAATGACTGTGAGGTTCTTGGGGTTCTCTGAGCTTGGTGGCTTTCTTGCAGACGTTCCATGACCCAACTAGGTAATATCATCAATGTTAGAAGGGAATGGGGTTTTTAGAGTGGGGAAGGAGATGGGGGAGGAGGATGACAACTATGCAGTTCTTGGTGCTTTCTGAGCTTGGCTGTTTTCTTGCAGACGTTTTATGACTCAACTAGGCAACATCATCAGTGCTAGAAGGGAGTGGGGTTTGTGGAATGGAGGAGAAAGAGATGGGTGGTGGAGGAGGAGGAGAAGGACAACGATGACAATGACTGAGGTTCTTGGTGATCTCTGAGCTTGGTTGTTTTCTTTTGGACGTTTCATGACCCAACTAGGTAATATCATCAGTCCTAGAACTGAATGGGGTTTGTGGAGGGGGAGGAGGAGGAGGAGGAGGAGAATCACTGTGGGGTTCTTGGGGTTCTCTGAGCTTGGGGGTCTTCTTGCAGACATTTCATGACCCAACTAGGTAATATCAGGGGGGGGGGAGGAGGAGGAGGAGGAGGAGGAGGGGAATGACTGTAGGGTTCTTGGGGTTCTCTGAGCTTGGTGGTCTTCTTGCAGACGTTCCATGACCAAACTAGGGAACATCATCAGTGCCAGAAGGGCGTGGGGTTTGCTCTCTGTTTCTAGACAGGTGGCTTGCCCTGTCAGTGATGGTGGGAGTATTTCTTGGTAGAGCTGTTGTTGACTGTTTGATGGTTTGCCTGAGTTGGAGGTTGGGTCATGCTTGAACTTTGGCAGAAGCTGAGATCGCTAAATCCTCTGCCGTGGGGGTGGGGGTGAGCGGGGCAGGGGGATGACTAGGTCATCTGAGATGTCCAGGGGCCTGCCAAGATGATGGAGAGACTTGGCTCCTAGTGGCTTCAAAGAAGGCAACCATCCCCCACCCCTACCAGCCAGCTGTCTAAAGACAGGAAGTTGTGAGTTGTGAGGAGAGGATAATGGCTTGGGTCCTTCTGGAGCACACAGAGGGAGTGACAGTTGGTGTTATGGAACAATGGAGGTCTTGTCTCTCTTCCCTGCTCGTTAGGAAATTGAGATGGCCAACTTGGATGAGGTCTCCTGGTGGGAAGCAGCTGTTTTGAGGGCCCAGCCAGGCAGCTTCTCCCTGGTTTAAGGTTACAGATGGAGTCATCTGGAGAAAGAAGGGAGGGACTGGGTGAGGAGTGAAGGACAGTTGCCAAGTCAACAGGCCCAAGTTGGCTGCATTCAGACGACGGGAAGCTTTGGGTGGTTCCAAGAAGGTCATCCCTTGAGTTTTCCTAGAGGTTCCTCAGAAGAAGCTTTCTTCTCATGAACTTCCGTTCCCCCTTTTCCCATCTGCAGGATCGAGGCATTACCGGGAAACTGGAGCCCGTTTCTCCCATCACCTCTGCCCACCCTGACTTGGAACTGGATCTACTCCCATCCCGGCTCTCGAAGGAGGAGCTGATCCAGAACATGGACCGCGTGGACAGAGAGATCACCATGGTGGAACAGCAGATCTCCAAGTTGAAAAAAAAGCAGGTAACAAGACGCTAACGGAAATCGGTCGAGAACTTTTTCATCCAGATTTCAACCCCGAGAAGGTCTAGAGTGGAGTCAATCAGAGGCATGAATCCATTTTGATCGGGTTCTAGGTGTGGACTAGATCGCTTCCTTTTGGCCAGGTAGAACGGGGGGGGGGGGGGGGGGCAGGCAGCATAGCACGAGGGTGGGAGGAGACAAGGCAGTTTTTAGAGATTCAGGAGCATCAGGCAAAAAACATCAACAAAATCGAGATTTTCCCAGGATTGGGCTGAATGACAGCAGTGTCCAGATACACCTATACAGGTAGTCCTCGACTTACGGCGGCAATTGGGACCAGAATTTTGGTTGTTAAGCGAGTTATCACATGACTGGCTCTGATTTTACGGCCATTTTGTCCGTGGCGATTAAGAGAATTCACGCAGTCGTTAAATGAAACCCTTTCCCAATGGAGAACTCTGCTTGAAGGAAGCCCAGCTAGGGAAGTCCGCAAATCACAAATCCTAGGACGCCGCAAACGTCATAAAGGGGAGCCAGGTGGTTGCGATGGTTTTAACTTGGGTGGGTTATAAGTCGCTTCTCCCAAGGCTGTCGTAACTTTGAACCATTGTGAAACGAACCATTGTAACTCGAGGACTGCCTGTATGGCAATTTGTAGGGAGGTGACGGGGGCACTCCAGGGAGCGCTGGTCTCTGTGAGAGGGGGACTTATTTTCGATTTCTCCTCTGCTTCTGCAGCAACAGCTGGAGGAAGAAGCAGCCAAACCGCTGGAGCCCGAGAAGTCCATCTCTCCCCCACCCCTGGAGTCGAAGCACCGCAGCCTGGTCCAGATCATCTACGACGAGAATCGGGTGAGCTGTGCTCTTGAACCCGGGTTACGGTTTGGAAAGCGGTGCCTCCTGCCTGGTTAAAGCTGGAGGGCACAGCGGACACCTCTTCGCTCTGGGAAATCCCAGCCAGCTACTTCTCAGGAGAAGAGGGAGGGAGGGAGAGATTGGATGGGTGGGTGGGTGGATGGATGTGAGTGGGTGGGTAGAGGGAGGGAGGGAGGGAGGGAGGGAAGGATGGAGGGAGGGAGGAAGGGATGGATGGATGTGAGTGGGTGGGTGGAGGGAGGGAAGGATGGATGGATGAATGGAGGGAGGGAGGGAGGAGGGAGGGAGGGAGAAATGGATCGATGGATGGATCAATAGATGGATGGAGGCATGGGTGGGTGGGTGGAGGAAGAGAGGGAGGGGTGAGTGGATGGAGAAATGGGGTGGATGGAAGAGAAAAAACGGGGTGTTGCAAACCATGATGAGATGCGCCCTGGAGGATGCTGGGATGGGGCAGCATTTCTGGTCAGAGGCATTACACTACGCTAATTACACCCTGAATAGACTGTGGTCAAGCTCTATCAATAAGACACCATACGAGATGCTATACAACAGAAAGCCCAACATTGCACACTTGCACATATTCGGCGCCCCAGCTGATGTCCACATTCCCAGACAGCTAAGAAGAAAAGGGGAGAAATTATCAAAAAGGTTAAGGTTCGTGGGTTACGAACCGGGCACAAAGGGCTACAGATTTGTCGACAACAATAACCGTTTTGTGGTTTCCAGATCAGCCAGTTTCCACGAAAACGCAAACTGGTCGAGGGTACACTCCAATGACATCCCAGCCAATAGGGTCACGTTCGAGCATGGCCAAGAGGAAAGGGAGGTCAGAGAGGTCACAGGGCACAAAGCCAACCACCGCAAGGCAAACGTCAAAGGTTGGAAAGAAGGGCACCCTTCACTGAAGATAGATGACCTGACGGACAAAGAGGCAGACATCATGCAGGAAACCGAGCCAACCCCAGCAGGCCAATCAGAGAAACCAGAAACAAGCTACCAAAGAAGTTAGAGGACTACGTTATGACCATCCACAACACCCATTTCACGCCCAGCTCATATGAAGACATCCTCGGGCTCCCCCGGGAGGAGAAAGAAAAATGGATACTTGCCATGGAGAAGGAGATGGAAAGCCTAAGGAACCTCCAGGTATACTCACCTGCCCAAGTTCCAGAGGACAAAAAACCAATAGGAACCAAATGGGTGTTCAGGGTTAAGACATTAGAGGACAACAAGGCCCTATACAAGGCAAGACTAGTCGCGCAGGGTTTCGCCCAAAGATACCCGAAGACTATACAGACACCTACTCGCCAACCGTCAGGGCGGAGAGCGTCAAAAGCCCCCTGGTGGTGGCCACCATCCTGGGCTTGGAGGTCTTCCAATTCGACGTACAAACAGCGTACTTGCACGCCGAACTGGATAAAGAAATATACGTCAAAGCGCCACCTGGGTACAACAAAGGCGAGAACCAAACCTGGCTGCTGAATAAAAGCCTGTACGGGCTCAAGCAGTCGGGCAAAAGGTGGTATGACTGCTTGGCCAAGGCCCTCAGATCCATGGGCTTCGAGGCCACCTCAGCTGACAAATGCTTCTTTACGAGGAGAGAAAACAACACATTCGAAGGACGACATCTTGTACATCAGCAAACACAAGAACAGGTGTGACAAGTTCGCCACTGACCTGGGTAGCCACTTCTCCTTAAAGTCACTTGGAAAGATTGACAGATACCTAGGGGTCCAAGTGATAAAAACCAATAAGGGCTTCCGCCTCTCCCAGAGAGAAAAGATTATCGAGCTGCTGTCCAAATGCAACATGTCCGAAGCAAAACCCAGCGAGACCCCCATGCAACCCGAGTTCCTGAAGACCATGTATGAGGAATCTGAACCTTTCACAGACAACAAACTGTATAGATCAACGATAGGGTCACTGCTGTACATATCCAACTGGACCAGGCCCGACATCGCCTTGGCCGTCAACCTGCTGTCCAGACATGTAAGCAAGCCTACGGTAACACACTGGAACGCCATCAAAAGACTACTTAGATACTTAAAATTTAGTGCGGATGCCCTACTCTGCCTAGAACCAGAAACATCCGAGGAACCAAAGCTAACCTGCTATGCTGACGCTGACTGGGCTGGGGACGTAGAGTGCAGAAAAAGCACCTCAGGCTACGTGCTACTACTCAACAATTGCCCCATCCACTGGTACACTGGAAAGCAAAAACTGGTGGCCACATCAACTACGGAAGCAGAATTTGTTTGCCTATCAAAGGCCGCAAACAATTTAGTATGGTTCGATGACCTGCTCTGCGACATCTGGGCTGAACCCTCATATCCAATAGTTATCCACGAAGACAACAAGGCAGCGATAGAGATCTCTAGGGCCGATGCCATAGGTCAGCGTTCTAGGCACATTGACATTAAATACAAACACGTCAGGCAGTTTTCAGAGATAGGTTTCATTAGGGCAGTGCACTGTGACACAGAGGAGCAAACAGCAGATATTCTCACTAAACCCCTACCACATAAACAACATGCTTACCTCATGTCAAAAATGCGTGTTTGCTTGTAATTCATGCCTGTACCAGTGTATTCTCTGTATGTATGCAAACACCGCCTCAGGTACCCAGTTAGGCATTTAGAGGGGGTTTTGTCATGATAAATGCCTAACTACTATGTCTCCCTGATCACCCGGACCTTCAAGGGTTAACTAACCACATATCCCCTAATCCTTATAACCACTCCTTACCTCTTAACCCCTCCTCCTGGGTACAAAAGGTCCAACCGCATGGTCCACAACTCATTCCAGATGTATACCTGAAAGAGAAAGGTACAAGGTCAGTGACCTCCAGTACCAATAGATCAACAATAAAGCTACAGAAAAGAATTGGAGTCTGTCTCTGAGTTATTGGGCTAGATCCAGCTTATAACACTATACTATTTCTACATAACATTGAACTATTCTACCCCCTATATACTATACATTTCTACACAACATTCAACTAAAAGCTATCTGATACTTCCTAGTTTGGTATTTATTCTGCACATAATCTATCCATTTCTTCCACTCCCCTGCATAAGTCTCTTGAGTCCGGTCTTTTAAGTATGCTGATATCTTCGCCATTTCTGCAAAACTGGCCACCTTCAAAGTCCATTCTTCAATAGTAGGCAAAACATCCCTTTTCCAATATTGACCAATCAGTAACCTAGCTGCTGTCACCATATACAATATCAATTTTGTTTCGCCCATTGAAAAACTATGCGGTCTTTTGACTGCCACAGACTTCATTGAATTGCGAAGTTTGATTAACTGAGGCTGCAAGACTTTATGTATAACTTGTCTACGCTAATATTTCTCAACCTCACAAACTTTAAGATACGTGGACTTCAACTCCCAGAATTCCCCAGGCAACATGTTAAAAGTTACTGAGGCTGAGAAACACTGATCTAAGCCCAGGATTTGTTAATATCAATTGGATTAGTTTTGAACTATTATACAAAAGATAGCAGTATTGCATTGCAGGGTGTTCAGAAAGAAATTCCACTGAACTGACTTGGGACTAAAATGCTTTTACAGTATGCTTTTATTTGCTTGTTTAAAAAAATTAATTTCATAGGTGCCTGATAGAAACCATAATGGCATGATATATATCATGATGTCATTGCACAAAATGCATACAATACCTAATTTAGTTTATTTGCATAATGGGATCATGATATGCCCCACTTCCCTAGATACCATTGCTAATTTCCTTGTCTTTCAAACAATAGGACTATAAGAGTAACCCACAATGAAATATTTTTAACAGTAATACAATAAAAACAGATTTCTGATTTTGAGGGGTTTTTTTTGTTTTCTTTTCTGATATTGTAAACCACTCAATTTCTTCAGATTGGAGTCAGATACATGTACTGTAAAGTCAATCAGAAAATAATACAATATAATTATATATTATAATTATTATATTTAGCAACATAATTTTAAATTGGATGTTTTAAATTTTTGGGGTTTTAAATTAAGCCAAATTTATTTAATATTTTTAAATTATTTTAAATTGATGTTGATTCTGTTTTTAAATGGGCTGTACACTGCCCTGAGTCCTTCGGGAGAAGGGCGGTATAGAAATAAAATTATTATTATTATTATTATTATTATTATTATTATTATTATTATTATTATTATTATTATTACCAACCTAGAAGATAACATTGAAAATACCATCATTATATCTAGGCTGGACTTTCAAGTTGTGCTAAGCTATAGTGTGGTTTGTTTGGTTTTCACTTAGCATGTCATGAGAACTCAAACACGGTAGTTTGTAAATAATGGTGGGTTTTTGTTTTTTTTGTTTATTATGATTAGCCAATCCACTCAATTGTGGCTTTTAAAAAATATGCTCACCCAGAGTCAAGCGATTTATAACCTAGCAGGATGATTGATCCATGTCTATGTGTTAAGGTGCTTTCTAAATGCTGATACACATCTCCAATCTAGTCCCCTATCTAAGAAGTCTCATGAAAGAACAAAAGAACCTCGAACTGTGCAAAGCATTTAAAGGAGTCCAAAGGTGCTTTTTCAAGAGGCAACTGGACTTTCTGGTTTTTCTTTGAAGACGTTTTGCTTTTCATCCAAGAAGCTTCTTCAGCTCTGACTGGATGGTAGGGAATAGAAGCATCCATTCAGAACTGAAGAACCTTTTTGGATGAGAAGCCAAATGTCTTCAAAGAAAAACCAGAAAGTCCAGCTCCCTCTTGAAAAAGCATCTTTGGAACAACCATGATCTGGATGACTGAGAATCTCCATAGATATTTAAAAGGAACTTTGGGCAAAGTACACTGGCGTTAACAAAGCAGTCCTCCTCAAAACAGCCACATCTCCTGGAAGCCTGTATGTGACTGCTGCAAACGCATTCCCCAGTTACATGTGTATGCGCAGATATTTTAGCTGGAATCACAAGTGAAGTAAAGCAGTTGTGCATGAAGTCACAGCCAAAGGAAAGTGGCTG